TGCTCTGTCACCCCGGCTGGAGTGCAGCGGCACCGCCTCGACTCAACTGGGATTACTGCCTCACTGCAACCTCTACCTCCCAGGCTCAAGTGATTCTCATTCCTCAGCTTCCCAAGGACCTGGGACTATAGGCCTGTACCACCAGTCCCAGTTAATTTTTGTATTTTTAGTAGAGATAGGGTTCCACAGTGTTGGCCAGGCTAGTCTTGAACTCTTAGCCTCAAACAATCCTCCTACGTCCCACCTCTGGCTCAGTGGCCACGCCTATAATCCCAGCACTTTGGGAGGCCAAGGCAGTGGATCACCTGAGGTCAGGGGTTTGATACCAGCCTGGCCAACATAGAGAAACCCTGTCTCTATCAAAGATACAAAAATTAGCTGGGTATGGTGGCATGTGCCTGTAATCCCAGCTACTCTGGATGGAGGCTGAGACAGGAGAATCCCTTGAACCTGGGAGGTAGAGGTTTCAGTGAGCCAAAATGGCACTACTGTACTCCAGTCTAGGTGACAGAACAAGATTTTGTTTTAAAAAGAGAAAAAAAATTAGACCCAGTGCAGTTTCTAATTTTTCAACAAATAGAAACCTGCGATGAGTTGAGTGTATTTTATACATTGCTAGATTTAAGTTGAGGAACTTTTGTGTGTGTGTGTGTGTGTGTGTGTGTGTGTGTGTGTGTGTGAGGTGAAGTCTCACTCTGTTGCCCAGGCTGGAGGGCAGTGGTGCGATCTCGACTCACTGCAACCTCCGCCCCCTAGGTTCAAGCAATTCTCTGCCTCAACCTCCTGAGTACCGAGTAACTGGGATTACAGGCGCCCACCACCATGCCTGGATAATTTTTTGTATTTTTAGTAGAGACAGGTTTTCACCATCTTGTCCAGGCTGGTCTTAAACTCCTGACCTTATGATCCACCTGCCTCAGCCTTCCAAAATGCTGGGATTACAGGCGTGAGCCCCCATACCCAGCCAAGTTAAGGAACTTTTTAGGCCAGAAACACATACCCTCATAACCTGCTGATCCATTATTGAGAGATTTTATGGAGATTCTGAATGCTTTTAAATTGTATCCTAATCTGGGGTTATGATTTGTCAGTTCCCCAAAACTGACTGACTTCCTTCCTTTCTTCCTTCTCTCCTTCCTTCACTCCTTTCTTTACTTTTCTTTCAACACAGTCTTATTCTGTCACCCAGGTTGGGGTGCAGTGCCACAATCATAGCTCACGGCAGGCTCAAACTCTTGGACTCAGGCAGTCCTCTGGCTTCAGCCTCCCAAGTAGCTGGGACTACAGGCACATACCACCATACCTGGCTAATTACTTTTTGTTTTAAGAGATGGGGTATCACTGTGTTTCCCAGGCTGGCCTGGACCTCTTGGCCTCAAACTATCCTCCTGCCTCAGCCCCTCAAAATGATGGGATTACTACAGGCGTGAACCATCTTGCCCAGCCCTCCCAAAGACTTTAGAAAGTTGAAAAAAAAATTGCTGGCCATGGTGACTCACACTTGTAAGTCACTCCCCAGCACTTTGGGAGGCCAAGGCGGGTGGATCACAAGGTCAGGAGTTCGAGAACAGCCTGGCCAACATGGTGAAACCCGTATCTACTAAAAATACACAAATTAGCCAGGCACGGTGGCAGGCGCCTGTAATCTCAGCTACTGGGGAGACTGAGGAATGAGAATCACTTGAACGTGGGTGGCAGAGGTTGCAGTGAGCCGAGATAGCACCACTGCACTCCAGCTTGGGCAACAGAGCAAGACTCCATCTCAAAAAAAAAAAAAAAAGTTGAAAAAGATTCAAGAAATTTTTTTCATATATTCCCATTCACGTCATTATGAATTTTCAGAGTACGTGTTATTTAACTGGCATAACCACATGATAGATACTGTTATCTGATTTAGAGTGTCAGATGATGTGGTAGTTACTCTGATATTGTGCTTTGCTTTTTTTTTTTTTTTTTTTTGAGACAGAGTCTCACTCTTTCACCTACACTGCAGTGCAATGGCGTAATCTTGGCTCACTGCAACCTCCATATCCCAGATTCAAGCAATTCTCCTGCCTCAGTCTCCCGAGTAGCTGGGATTACAGGCACCCATTTTTAGTAGAGATGGGGTTTTACCATGTCAGCCAGGCTGGTCTCAAACATCTGACCTGATGATCCACCTCGGCCTCCCAAAGTGCTGGGATTACAGCTGTGAGCCAACCGTGCCCGGCTTGTGCATTTTATTTGAATTATCTTTGGCTTTATACCCCTGCACAAGCAGAAAACTGTATCAAAGCCTCATTTGTCAAGGTATATTACTCAGATTATTTCTTTTGTTTTGAAGCGTAAATCACAATTCCCTAATCTTAACAGTTTTAGGGAAATCTACAGCTAATTTGGAGTAGTCTAACCCAATTAAGAATAGATACTTCTGGAGGTTGAGGCTCAAGTATTGCTTGAGCCCAAAGAGTTCCAGGCTGTGGTGAGCTGTGATCGTGCTACTGCACTCTGGCCTGTGTGACAGAGGAAGACCCTGTCACAAAACAAATTAAAAAAAAATAGTTACATCTCAAAGCAAGAAATGTTACTGAGAAGTATAATACTTTCTGGCTGTCTTTTTGTGCCTTGTAAGAAGAACAATGTGTTTTATTGAGCACACTGACATAATTTTTTTTTTTTTTGAGAAAGTAGAATTCATTTGGATAGATGATTTTTTTTTTTTTAAAGAAATATGTTTTATTTTGGAATGATATTGCCAAGAAAATAGAAATCAATGGCTTTGTTACTCTCACTTTCTTTTCCTTTTCTACCTTGTTAACTTTTCCAATAACTCTTACATTACTTGGGGAGATGCTTTTATCATGTCATCCATAAATGGTTTTTGTTTTGCTTTGGGGGACTCTCAGTAATTTACTTGCACATTGTTTTCGTATTACAAGTGTGGCTAATGTTTAAAATGAATGGAGTATTATAGTCTTAGCACTGGATATACAGCCTACAAAGAACCTTTGTGAGCTGATTTTTGCAGTGCTTTCTAAGCACTTCTGCAGGAAACAACCCCACGTTTTATGTTAACTCTGTTTTAAATGCCTCAGCTGTATTTAAGGTCTGTTACACACCTTAAATGTATTTCTTGTATCTATATAAATGTTCACAATGAAAATTATTTGATGTTTGAGTTATGTTTCTGCCCGGTTTCTGTCTTCTCAACCCCATCCACAGACCTATAAGATTTGTTTCAGCAACCTCATTTTTACAAACAAAACTGACATACATGCACTCGGTGCAAAGTAAATACCATTGAAGGTCAAGAGTATGTGTCAGATTTCTGTTTGAGGATATTTCAGTATTTTAAAGAGACTAGTAATACTTTGATTTACTCCTACATCTAGGAATCTTACTGACATTGTATCATCACAGATTTCAAAAATTATTGCTACTTTATTGAATTTTGAAAAGTGGCTCTCTCTAAAAATGATTATTTCATCTTACTTTAGCTATGTGGATCGACTAGAACCCTTTTACCTCATAATAATTTTTGACAGATTGTCGTTGTAGCACATTTCAAGATGTTTAGACTGATGACGAATAATTCATTGTTGTTATACAACACAAAAACTAAGATTGTTCTAAATCTGTGGCTGTTTCTGTTATGTAGGATATGGAAACCAGTTACATAGGCTTTTGTATAGCATACTAATGTGGAAAGCAGGTACCTGTAAGTGAATTCTCAGGGCAATATTTGCCATGGTTTTTTGGAAAATTGTGACATTCAAGAGACATGTAGATTGATGGGTATGATACTGCATTTAAAGAGCAAGGAGAAACTAACATTAAGTGACTGCTATGTGCAAGTCACTGTGTAATGCACTTTCATATAATTTATCTTGGCCAGGCGTGGTGGTTCTCGCCTATAATCCAAGAACTTTGGGAGGCTGAGGCAGGTGGATCACTTGAGGTCAGGAGTTCTAGACCAGCCTGACCAACATGGTGAAACCCCTTCTCTACCAAATACAAAATATTAGCCAGGCATGGTGGCACATGTAATCCCAGCTACTTGGGAGGCGGAGGCAGGAGAATCATTTGAACCTGGGAGGCGAGGTTGCAGTGAGCTGAGATTGTACCATTGCACTCCAGCCTGGGCAACAAGACAAAATTCCTTCTCAAAAAAAAAAATTAAAGTAGAGGAGCTAAATTGTTGAGAGTTCCCCAAAGCAAAACAAACACATTTAAGGATGACATAAAAATAGGAATGGGGGCCAGGCGCGGTGGCTCACGCCTGTAATCCCAGCACTTTAAGAGGCCAAGGTAGGTGAATCACCTGAGGTCAAAAGTTTGAGACCAGCCTGGCTAACATGGCGAAACCCTGTCTCTACTAAAAATACAAAAATTAGCCTGGCATGGTGCCATGCACCTGTAATTCCAGCTACTTGGGAGGCTTGAGGCGGAGGTTGCAGTGAGCCAAGATCACGCCATTGCACTCCAGCCTGGGGGACAAGAGCAAATCTCCATCTCAAAAAATAATAATAAGGATTTGGATATTTTACAAATATGCTCAAATGCAGATTATTTAACCTGAAGTCATATAACTTGTAGTCAAGACGTATTGGCAGCTTTCAAGCACTAAGTTTCCCTCTTTCCCTATAAAATGGGTCATGATGAAGATGATAATGAGTAAGATAAACAGGGTATGTTAATGCTAGATTAGTCACTGTTGCAGTTTAAAGACACATGCAGTAAAATACATCAGGTTTTTCTGGATGAAAGGTAGTCTAGGTAGGCAAGGTGGCTCACACCTGTAATCCCAGCATTTTGGGAGGCCGAGACAGGAGGATCACTTGTTACCCAGATCACTCTGGGTTACACAGAGTCTGTCTCTACAAAAACAAAACAAAACAAATCAGTTCTCCAACCTGGATACCCTTATTTATACTACTCATCTTTGTATTGCTCTGCTAGGGTTGTCATAACAGAATACCACAGGCTGTATGGCTTAAACAACAGAAAATTTTTTCTCCCAGTTTTGTAGGCTGAAAGTCCAAGATCAAGGTGCCTTGATCAAGCAGGGTTGATTTCTGGTAAGGACTCTCTTCCTGGCTTACAGACAACCATCTTCTCTCTGTGTCCTTACATAGTCTTACCTGTGTGTCTCGGTAGAAGAGAAAGCTGTCTGGTACTTCTTCCAATAAGGACTGAGTCCCTATTAGGGTACCACCCTTATTAGTTCATTTAACCTTAATTACCTTCTTAAAGGTAGTATCTCCAAATTATAGTCACGTGAGTGTTAGGACTTCACCATATGAATTTGGTGGGGGCACAATTCAGCCCATTACAAGCATATTCTCTTACAGCTAATCTGCACGAGAAGCCAGATTATAATCAAAATATTATTTGGGAGCACGAACTCAAAGGTGGATGGCAAGATGATCAAAGGCCTTGATAATCATAATGCTTTGTGCCCTGGTAGATAGAAGACTTACAGGCTGAGTAACTTCTGCTGCACTGTGCTGGAGGTAGATTTGCTGTTTTGTCTTGTTGAGCTTTTCTTTTTTCATAAAACCAGTCCCCTTAAATTATTTTTTTTTTCAGGCAGTTTAGTTAAAATTTTATGGTTATGAGCCCAGCCTAATGGCCCCCCAGTGTAACATAAGAAACTTACAGCATTCTGTACCAGTTCTTTCTGATAAAAACAAAAACAATAACTTACAGCAACCTGTACTCCCAATCTGATTAGATTTGAGTCTTAGGCCAGGCACAGTGGCTTATGCCCATAACCCCAATACTTGGGAGGCTGAGGCTAGCTGATCGCCTGAGGTCAGGAGTTCGAGACTAGCCTGGCCAACGTGGTGAAACCCTGTCTCTACTAAAAATACAAAAAATTTAGCCGGGCATGGTAGCGGATGTCTGTAATCCCAGCTACTGGGGAGGCTGAGACAGGAGAATGTCTTGAACCTGGGAGGCAGAGGTTGCCGTGAGCCGTGATTGCACCACTGCATTCCAGCCTGGGCTATAGAGCAAGACTGCCTCAAAAAAAAAAAAAAAAAAAAAAAGAGAAAAGATTGAGTCTTTAACTCCGAATCACATTTTGGGGCCAGCTCTTATATTAACTAACTTTTCTAGATTGAGGTTGTCCCTTTCAAAATCTCAGAAAAATGATTTTAAATTTAGTTTGCAGGATGGAGTTGTCTTCCCAATAGGTCAGTGTACTCCTAAGATCATCGTTGTATCAGGGTCCTGCTTCCAGGTTTCTCACTACCTTGTTTTGTGACATTATATATAAGCCACTTACCTCTGAGATGTTTATCTGTGAATAAGTAGTAGAATAGGCTTGATACTCTTCTGTGATTCTAATTATTCTTACAGCATATTCATAAAGCACTTTCTTAAAGCACTATTGCTACATTATTTTGCCTTTGAAAGAAAGAATTGTCAGTAAGTAGAGGGTATTTAAGGCTGAGTGAATAGATGACATCATTAGGGAGAGCGTATAAAGGGAACCGAAAAAGGAATCTAGGACCAGGCTTTGAAGAACCCCAGGAAGTAGAGCAGAGGGAGCTGTCGAGAAATAGAAAAACGAGAGTATTTCAAGAAATAGGGAGTGGATACTTGTGTTCAGTGAAGGTAAGAGGTTCAGTAAGATGTGTCCTTTGGATTTGGCAAATGGAGGTCATTGGCAATCTTGACAAAAGCAATTTATTTTTACTTGTCGGGGCACAACTCATATCATAATGGATCTAGCAGAAATTTGGTGATAAGTGGAGACTGTGTGTATGTAGGCAACTCTTTTAAGAACTGTTTATGAAGAAGGAGTGAAAAATGGGAAATACTGAATACTTATTTTCTGGTGAGAATAAAGGTGTAAAGATTGATTACACAGTGAGAACAGAAGGAGCAAAGTCCCTGAGAAGGAGGAAGGGAATGATACATATATTGACGTAATGGCCTTCGTTAAGTAGAGGACACAGCGGACATTGCGGAGTCATAAAGAGAGAATGAATGCTAACATGGATGGAGGTATAAATATTTTAGTAGGCTTAGTAGTAGAGGGATTGGTGAATTCTCTCACTGCTTTTGTTATTTAAAAAAATGAAACGGGGCTGGACACAGTTCATGCCTGTAATCCCAGCACTTTGGAAGGCCAAGGCGGGCAGATCACTTGAGCCCAGGAGTTCAAAACCAGCCTGGGCAACATGGTGAAACTCAGTCTCTACAAAAAATATAAAAATTAGCCGGACATGGTAGCATGTGCCTGTAGTCCTAGCTGCTTGGGAGGCTGAGATGGGAGGATCACCTGAGCCCAGGAGGTCAAGGATGCAGTAAGCCATGATCACATCATTGCACTCCAGGCTGGGGGACAGAGACCCTGTCTCAAAAAAAAAAAAGTCAGTGTTGAAAATAAGAAAGGAGAAAGGGGGTAAAATGTTTTGGGAGTAAGAACAAAGAATGAAATAGTTGTCAGAATAAAAAAAAAGTTTATTAGTAGGAGTCATCAATTTTAGTTTTGAGATTTGGCATCTTAATAATTGGGCTGGGTGAAGAAGCTCACGCCTGTAATCCCAGCACTTTGGGAGGCTGAGATGGGCAGATCACTTGAGCCCAGGAGTTTGAGACCAGCCTGCGCAACATGGCGAAACCACATCTCTACAAAAAATATAAAAATTAGCCTGTCATGGTGGTGCACACCTGTACTCCCAGCTACTTGGGATGCTGAGACAGGAGGATCATTTGAACCCAGGAGGCAGAGGTTGCAGTAAGCCAATATTGTGCTATTGTATTCCAGTCTGCGGAATTAAGAGTGAGACTCTGTCTTAAAAATGATAATAGGCTGTGCGCAGTGGCTCATGCCTAGAATCCTAGTACTTTGGGAGGCCAAGACAGGCGGATCATGAGATCAAGAGTTCAAGACCAGCCTGGCCAACACAGTGAAACCCCGTCTCTACTAAAAATACAAAAATTAGCTGGGCATGGTGGCGGCCATCTGTAGGCCCAGCTACTTGGGAGGCTGAGGCAGGAGAATCGCTTGAACCCGGGATGTGGAAGTTGCAGTGAGCCACTGCACTCCAGTTTGGGTGACACAGCGAGACTCTGTCTTAATAATAATAATAATAATAATAACTGGCACATAATAGACAGTTGATATATATTTGTTGAATTAATAATTTGAGGCTGGGCAAGGTGGATCACAAGGTCAGGAGTTCGAGACCAGCCTGGCCAATATGATGAAACCCTGTCTCTACTAAAAATGCAACAATTAGCCGGGCGTAGTCGCACATGCCTGTAGTCCCAGCTACTTGGGAGGCTAAGGAAGAAGAATCGCTTGAACCCAGGAGGTAGAGGTTGCAGTGAGCCGAGCTTGTGTCACTGCACTCCAGCCTGGGCAACAGAGCGAGACTCGTCTCAAAAA